ATTCGTGACCCAGGAACTGAGACGGCAGTAGGAACGGATTTGCATTTTCTCTCCCCGTCCATCATGTCATTGGACAAGGTCGTTTCTTTACCAGAAGAAGCCTTCTGCGCAGGGCCAAGATGGAGAGGTGGAAGAGGGAGGGGGATACCCACTGTTTCATGTATATTTTTACCTCGGGGCGCACAGGGACTAGGATCGGCGGTCGGACGGCCGGGCATCAGGAAAACGGCTTGGCAGCACAGCAGAAGCGCGGTCGGTGCGGATGGCGTTTATTTTGTTTTTCCGACAACGACAATCGGTCGAAACGCGTACGAACTTGTACCGATTCAGAGCCCGTGTATCTGGTCATCTGTGTCGATACGAATAGACGCTTTCTTGGCTATTTGTGACTCGTCGATTTGTCAATGTGAGACTTATACTGATGGAGTCGCTATACTCTCTCCCAAGTCTGTCAAGCAATGCTCATGAGCTCGGTTGCATTTCCTATGGAATACCCATGCAGCTCAATCGCCAGCATCCATCAATTTCCCCGTGCCCTTCAACAGACGGGTCACCCTCATCTGGTCTTGGCCGCCTTCCCCCCCGGTCCTTCAGACTCTTCGTTTGATACATTCTCGTGACACGGCCTTGCACCTCGTCTTCGTCCTTGAGCACTCTTCTGCAAAAGCCAAACCATGTATCCATATTCGTACCAGTCCAATTTTGGAGTCCAGTTACAGGTAATATGATAGCCGCTCCCGATCCGATCCCGCGCCCGTAATGACAATGAACCGTGTTTGCCCTGGCATCGCGTCCTGCCCTGCCTCCCCCAGTTGTTCTGCCCATTGAGCCCTAGCCCGTGCAAGTCTGCAAAACCCCGAGACCAGCACTTTGTGCTGCAAGGTACACGCGGCCGTCTAATCTGACGTCAAAACGCCCGCACCCATCAATGAAATCAAGCAATCAATCTGGGGCAACTCCTGACATTTGTGAAACGTCGCCGCTGTTGGTAAGAGGGGGTATTGGTGAAGGAGGAAATCGTAAAAGTGAGATGTCGTGAAAGGGGGGTAGGTGGCGGGTGCGTGGCATACGGCAGTCCTACCCATGCAATGTACATAGAACATGAGTTTTTGCGACATATTCAGCGCCGCTGAAGTCCCTTCAGTCCATGTAGAAGTCTCCCTTGAGAATACGCTCCTGGAAAGCGTCGGGCTTCTTTCGCTGGGGCTCAGGAGCCTTGGGCTTCATGGCGGCGGCCTGCGCGGGCGGAGCGGGCATGTCGGACACAGATTTAGCGCGGTCGTGCATGGCGTTGCCGTTGCCACGGGGTGGCGAGGTGGACGCAGTCGAGCCAAAGGAGAATGACGGTCGGGGGCCCTGGACAGAGCTCTCAGCTCGAGACTTGAGTTGCTCGGACCAATTAAATCCTTGATCTGCCCAAGAGAAGAATTGTTAGCCCAGGATCAATCGAGTGATGCATTGCTTGCCAGGGAGATGATCGTGTCTTTCGGCATGCGCAGTCGTTGAGGTCCGCCCCCTGCAACGGGTGCAGGTGGACGACGACGAGCTGGTGCGGTTGACTTTGTGGGAATCGCACCTGTTCTCGTCGAGGGAACTCGGGGGTTCACACTGCTTCGTCTGCCGCTCATGGTAGACATTTGATGAAGGGGAGCATTGGAGGGGACAGATGTTGATGCAGATGGGTGATTACCATTTGGCGCTGAGGGGCTTCCGCCACCTGGACGAACATTGCGCATGGCGGGGGCCCCAAAGCTCATACGGCGGGCGAAAGGGGTAGTGGGGGGAGCGCGTACGACCTCCTCTTCGTCAATGGCGTTCTCGTCAAACGAGTCAGAGTTAGTCGACATGCTGCCTCGTCGAAAGCCGGTGAAGGGGCTGGAGTTGGTAGGCGATGTGCCAGCCAGGCCGATGCCCGTTGTGGCAACAGAGAGACGTCGTCGCTGGGCCTCACTGTTCTGGTAGTTCTGGCCGACCGAGGTCGAGTTGCTACGGAAAAGGCCAGCCAGGGCCTGCTGGGTGACTGAGCCGCGGCGTCGGTGGTTCATGTCGGCGTTGTTGTTGGCGTTTTCGTTTGACATGATGGCGGTTGAGGTGTATGGCGAATCGTCTATTTGTAGTTTTGCAGCGTTGACTATTAGGTGGTGGGTTGGTGTGGTGTTGGATGGTGTGAGAAGGAATAGAAATCGAAAGACGAGTCGTTCGAGAGGGGTCCGGGGGGGGGGGGGGTTACGGGTAGGTGGAACGTGGGTTTATATATCAGAGTGGGAAATGGACTGATTGGGTAACACCCCGCAGAGCCGGTGGTGGAGGGTAGGATGGTTGGTGTCTTGTGATGGCACGGGCACAATGCACGAGTCGAGCGAGGAGGTGCTGGCAAGGACAGTGTGGTGCGTGGCCTGATGCTGATCCCGAACGGGGTTTGATCAAGGGGCTTTCCGTCGAAGGCTTTGTGCGGCGAGAGATCGACAAGCCAGCACGGAGAACGATTGGGGGTTTTGATGAAGGTGACGTCGAGGCGCTGCGATTCGAGACAGGGGATGGCCAGGAAATGCAAATGAATCGAGAGCGATGCAGCGATTGAGGGAAAAAAGGTTGGGGATCAGAATACGGACGAGGGTGGCCCTTGAGCAGAAGGGAATTGATTGTCAGGGTGCGGTATGTGGCAGTGTGGGGGAGGAGCCGTAAGGGGGGCGAATCCAAACTGTTGGCGAGACACGGGTTGGTTTGGTGTTGGTTGGGACTTGTTGGCTGGTGTGTCTTGTTTGTTTGTCCGGTGGTGAATTTCTGTCGCAGGGAGTGGCACTTTTTTCTTTCTTTCCTGTTGATGAGGATAGAGATGGGTACCTAGGTTGCTAGAACGATGGAGATGAAGAGAAGAAGATG